GTGTACATGATCAAAACACACTGTGAGTGTTTCAGGTCTTGAAATGTTTATTGCAATCGGAGATACACTGCTGAGAATCTCCCTCCGAATCCTCCCCTCACTTCAAACACTTCACTCCATGTTCTGGTCTCTGACAGCAGCAGTTGTGGAGTCCTGAGTGCCTTTATGAGGTGTGATCCAAATTGCAGGGACTGCTGCTGCCCATGCCACCCAACAGAAAGGTGGCTTGTCAAAATGTGACAGTGTGTCCTTATCCACCTAATCCACCGGATCTAGTACTGCGTGACCCATGGTTCTTCCTCTAAATCAACATCCCCATGGACGGTCAATAGTTTGAATGAGTGCAGGGTATTGAGGCAGTTGAGACGGCACAACTGAAGACGCTCATGAAAGAGGGCTCCAGAGCTGCTGCAGAAAATGGTGGGGACCACGGATGAGCATATCTGAAGTGAGCGGAGCATGGAGGGGCATGGCAATGTGTCTTTCACTGTAATTTAAAAAATTAACCATTTGCTATATTTTGCCTCACCCCTGGCATGTCTGAGAGGTCCCCTGACCCCTAACTAGGGGTCTATTTTGCTGACACAGGGTATGCAGGTGGGATCCACCTCCCCAGCTTTGTAAACCTGGTGAGTGCTGCTCTCAGCATTCAGACCAGTGAGAGGGACTCATCACAGCGCACCCCACAGGCTGCTGTGAGCAGCACAGGCAGAAGGCATGGACGCTACCGCTCTGGTCCAGGCCACTCTTGGAGATCTTGGAAACCACAAATATGTGTGCAGATTTAGTTCTTGTGTTCCTTCCTTGTTATTTCCTTGGACACTGTTATTTCAAAGCCCTTAAATATTTGCTCAATAAATAATGAACGACTCTTGGCTTAGCAAAGTGGGAATAGAAGCAAACTGGGGACCACGTGACTGTCACTTCTGTGGGCCTGGCAAGCCCCTATCCATGGCTGACCTCACCTGGCACTGAGACCTGTTTTGTTAAGGAGGAGGAAATATTTGTCTTAAAACCAGTCTTCTGGGAGAGAACAGAACCTTTCCTTGCCACTTACAGCTACTTGGGAGCCGGACACGCGGGACCTTCCCCTGGGGCAAGGAGCTGGGCTGAAGACACTGGCCCCTGCCCTGTCACTTGGCAACACAGCAGGTGTCAATGCAAGAACCTGGGAGAACACAGTTCCTCAAGGTGCCAGGAGCTGCGTGGGAGCCCTGAGCCTGATGATTTGACTTCCCTGAGGCTGCCTGGCCGGAGAAAGCATGAGAAGCAGCTTAGGGAGGAATGGAAACCCCTGTCTTCCTTGGTCCCCTCTCCCCTGCCTGGATGGTCCCACTTCTGCCTTCCCAGCTGCATCCCATATGCTGAAGTCTCCCATTTTTTGTTTGCTTTTTGAGCATAGTTGTTATACAGCCCAGCCTGGCCTCAAAGCCCTGGTGATCCTCCTGCCTCAGCCTCCCAAGTACTGGTATTACCGACATGTGTCATAATGCCCAACTAAGGTCTCTCTCATCTCTAATCAAATCTGATGCCCCTGTAGCCCCAGGCCCTCGCATGTGCTGCCTGTGGCTGCAGGTTTAGAAAGGGCGGTCTCGTCCGAGTCGCTTTTGTACTTTACTCCACTGAGGCCTCACAAAATTGCTCAGCAGGTGACCTCTGGCCACATCGATGCCTGGCCCCACTCCTCTGGCCTGAGGAATCTGTACCCCAGCCCTTCCTGCCTGTTGCCCCCACTTCCGCATCCACCCGCAGCCACCGTTAACACATGGGTGGAGCTGCCCACGCCTCTCTCAGTGCCCTCAGACTGCACCCCTGAGGCTCTCAGCCCACACGTTTATATGCCGGGCTCTTCACTACTGTTCTGGTCATTTTATGATTTCCTTCATGCCTCCAGGTTACGAGGGCTACACGTCGGGACGTATGCTTTTAGCTCTATGATTTTTATATACAAGAGGGTGTGTCTGCAGGTGCAACTGAGTTACAGCACCTAGATGAAGCTGCAACTTTTAGAAATTAAGTGAAAAATGGAGGGTGGAGTGATCATGGTCCTGTGGGAAGCTCATGGCATGCTGGAGTACTGGTCCTGGCTGCGGCCACCCCACGGGCCGGTCACCATGTCACCAAGCAGCCAACTGAGGGCAGTGATTTCATGATCTGTTTTGTATCTAAATATATATATATATATACATTTTTTTTTAATTATTTATTTATCTATTCCTTTAGTGTGTGTGTGTGTGTGTGTGTGTGTGTGTGTGTGTGTGGCCAGCTCAGCCCACCAGGGGGCGGGGCTGGCTGGCATGTGGTGCTGGGGGATTGAACCGCGGTCCCTGTGCTTTGCCAAGCTTGTTCCAAGTAGGTGCTTTAGACCACTGAGCCATCTCTCCAGCCCCTGTATCTAAATATTAAGTTAAGTTAAAAACACTTTGCACTGCTAAGCCAGATGAAGTTGACATGAAACTCAACAACAGTTCTGCTGTCTCCTTCAGAGCAGTCTCGGGGACGGGACAGATGCTTTTGAGAAATGTCCCTTCACCTAAGTGCCTGTCCTTTTCTTTTTTCTCTCCCTCTTTTGGGAATCTTGTGAAATTCTTAGTTGTCAGGATCAATTTTTTTCTTTTTCTTTTTCTTTTTTGGTACTGGGGAATCAAACTCGGGACCTTGCACTTGCCAGGCAAGTGCTTATGTTGCTGAGCTATCTCCTGCAACAGCAAAACTGTTGTTTTTAAATATCAACCTCTTAAAAGGAAAAGCTGTGAGGTGACCTAACTGAGGCCTCACCATCCGCCCCTGGACTAACTGCTGCCCCAAACAGCGGCAGGCGAGTGTCTTCCCATGAGGATGGGGTGGTGTGTCTGTTCTTCTGAGCTCCCTGTGGGTAAAACGCCACAAGCCCTGTCACCCAAGTCCACTGCAGCCCACACTGCCGTCCTCTGCACCACCTCAGAGACCACACATTCACCTCCACACCTTCTCATTCTGAGCTCCTGTGCCTTTGCCACAGTGAAGGAAACCCATATTGAAAGAACACAAAGAGCCCAGAGTGGTGGTGCACGATACGTGATATCCCCAGTACTTGGAGACTGAGGCAGGGGGATGCCAAGCTAGAGGCCAGCCTGGGCTACACACTGAGATTCTATCTTAAATAATTACATAATTGAGAGCTGGGACTCCTGGTCCCAGAGCTTCTCAGCATGCCCCGTGTGCCGTGTTGCAATGCGCCAGGGAGCCAGGCTGGGCCCCTTTTCAGCACTGAGCTCACAACATGTGGGCAGCGACTTAGCGTGGATCAGCCATACATCTGGGGCTGAGGCAAGGCCAGTGCCGGGAACATGGAGTGCCTGAGGCAGCCATAGGAACAAGCTGCTGGGACCAGCGCACGGCCAGTCCCACAGGTGTCTGGCCTTGGTGATTCTGCCAGTTAACTACCGCTCAGCAGCTCTAAGAATGGTTCACTCTCAGCATTCTCAGAAAACTCTGACACCTTGCACTTTCGGCCCCATTGCACCCACCCCCACCCAGGTCATGCTGGGCTGATGCTGCCTCTCCCTCCAAGAGCTCAGGTGTACTGGGCCCCAGCTTCCCTCTCACTGTGTGTCTGGCTTTCTCTTGCTCTCCCGTCAGCCCCTTGCAGGCCCTTGCTGGCCGTGCAGGTTGTGACAATAGCTACCCTTCTGTGTCCACACATCCCACAGGAGAGCGATGCAGCCCCTCTTCTGTCCAGGCTGTGGCTGATCTGCAGGCTTGTTCATCAGCGCCATGAGCTGTGCCCTCCCGCTGTCCCTTCTAGCCCCGGGATATGCTGGCCACATGCTCAGAGCTGAACACAGCAGCGTCCCGAGACCTCCAAGGCCCAGGAGAACAGGATCTTTCATCACTTCCCTCCTAGAGCCCAGGGCCACCTCCCAGGAAATCTGGGCTGGGCCACTTGACCATGACAGGTGCCCAGACACTGGAGGCTGCCACAGAGACCCAGTGCCAGCAAAGAGCCACTGCCCACATGCCTGAGCCCCCCCAGAACTGAGGATGCCACGGAGGAGCAAGACCTCCGCTGTGACCAAGCACAGCACAGAAGGGGCTTGGAATCGTGGGGGACGCGTTTCCTACATGGCATCAGAACCCCTGACTCACCTCATCACCCTCCTCCTCCTCCTCATCGTCAGACTCAAGACCGCTGTCAGGCAGCTCTTCTGCAAAGAAAAGATTAGTAAATCACTGAGAGCCCAGGGCCCTTCAGCGATGGTGAGAACTGTCACTGCCACTCTGGGTCATGCCCACCTCGTAACTATTTATTTATTTGAGACAAGGTCTCCCTATGTATCCCAGGCCTGTCTCAAGCTTAGAAGTCCTCTTGCCTCAGCCTCCCAAGTGCAGGGATCACACGAAGCACCACACTGGGCTCTGAACTATTTGTAATCATGACCCCTTCAGCAGCTGTCTGATGCCTTCTTCAGCAATTTATAACAACTCTCTGTATTTCTATCAAGATACATTTAGGGGAGTGTGGAAAAAACTAAAAGCCAACACATAACTTGGGGGAACTTTGGGGAGCGGAAGAAAATGCTCACAGCTTGGCTCTGCACAGACGTGACTTCACCTCCTCCTTGGGACAGCTTTGGTGATGGGCGCCATACACGCTGGGGGTGGAGGGGCAGAGGCTTTGCCTGTGGTCCCTTCTGTGGAAGCGTGGACCTGAGCTTCTAAAGTCCCATGACTTATGGGTCAATGTGACCAAGCCTGGGGGGGAGGTGACAGTCCTAAGGACCTACCTATTCTCTGTCATGGTTGTGGCCCTGGGGACAGAGCGCCTGGCCTATGGTTTCCTGTGTCCCTACTGCATCTTCCTTTCCTTTTCCTGCCATAGTGGGGATCCAGTCCAGGGTACCTTACCCCTGAGCTCTATTCCAGTCCCCCAACCTTTTTCATTTTTTGAGATATGGTCTCATGAGTGGCCCAGGCTGGTCTCAAACTTACAATCCTCCTGCCTCAGCCTCCTAGGCTGCTGGGACTGTAGACTGCACAGACCCAAGGCTGCTGTCACTCTGTGCTCACTTCCTGCCTGCACTGCAACAACTATACTCCTTTCAGGATGGTGGTGCTCATGTCAGGTCCCCAGGACAATGCAGTGCCCTGCAAGCCCCAGTGTCTCCTCCAGGGACAACTGTGCCCCATGCTGTTCCTGAGTGGTACCCCCCCAACCCTGTTGGCAGGTCTGGTGCCGGGCCTGACTCTCCCTTGAGCAGCAGGTTGGCTGGCACTGTGGTTAGGGCCAGGCCAGGGCACAAACACCCCTCTGTCACTCGGGCCACACATACTGCTTATCCCTGTCTCAGGTCCCAGGCTGACCTGGCCCCTCAGTCCTCACCAGGGTGGTCCCTCCCCACCTGTGAAGCCAGGTTTCTAAATTTTACTTCTAATTCTGAATTTGAAGAGCTGAAGCTTGTGCAGAGAAATCAGGACCAAGAGCTGGGGCTGGGGCTGGTGAGATGGCTCAGTGGTCTAAGCCACCTACTTAGAACAAGCTTAGCAAAGCACAGGGACCACGGTTCAATCCCCCAGCACCACACGCCAGCCAGCCCCGCCCCTAGGCGGGCTGAGCTGGCTACACACACACACACACACACACACACACACACACACACACAAAATAAATTAAATAAATAAATTTAAAAAAAAAATAAGAGCTGGTGCTGGCTCTGCATGTAGGAACGCCTAATCCAGGCCGCAAGTGCCTGGGGTGAGAGAGCAAGTCCCTCCCGCCTAATGAAGAATGGCGATGCCCTCTTGTGGATCTTACGCATGTGGCCCATGGTTTCCAGGAAGAACTCAAGGGAACCAAAGGTCCCTGGGATCCCTCTCTCAGCCCCACCTCAACTGGACACGGGTGACACTCATCCCGTGGGGTGTGTGTGTGTGTGTGTGTGTATGCCTGGCCATCTGTTGACTATGCAGTGACTTCTAATTCTTGTTTCAGGAGGGCCTGCCCATTAGCTCAGCTGTTTAAGTGACTGCTTAAGTAAAGCAGTCAGGCTCAGGATTCTATGGTTCGATCCCCAGATCCTCATGCCTTAACAGACCTGCCCTTAAGGCAGCCGGAGCGGACCAAAAAAAAAAAAAAAAAAATCCTTCTAAATCTGGTTTTAAAGGAGAAGCATCCTGGGAAATCACTTCTGGGTTCTAGCCTGTGTCCCATGGGTAAAGAGTAGTTTAGGGAGCTTAGGAAGGGTTGGTAGCACACGTTTATAATCTCAGCACTGTGGAGGCTGAGGCAGGAAGATTGCTGTGAGTTTGAAGCCAGCCTGGACTATAGAGTGAGTTCAAGGACAGCCTGAACTACACAACAAGACCCTGTCTCAAAAGACCTAAAGAACAGGAAAAAGAGTGACTTATGAACTAGAGATAAAAAAAGAAATATTCTCAGCCCCTTATGTACACAGGAACTCACTGAGTGCGTAGTGCTTCCAAGCTGCCTAGAACACCCAGGGCTCTACAGCTGCAGCTTTGCCCAAGACTTCTTGCCAAAGCGGATCCCTTACAAAGGTCGCAGCTGTCTCCTTCCTCATCACCCTCTGGCATGCTGGTCCAAGGACTGGGTTTGTATGAAAGATGTGTCATGGGCCAGAGAGCAAACGGGGCCTGCATCCTGCTCCGGGTTGCCAGGAGGCAACTGGGCTGGAAATGGCTGCTCTGGGTCTCCCGACTGGACAGAAGATTCCAAGCCAGATGTGGCCGGTGGCAGAGAGGACAGCCCCAGAGGAGGCCCAGACAGCAGCAAGCAGACAAGGGGGCAGCCTCGGCCAGGACAGAGGCTGAGGTCTTGCTCTACTCTGCTTGCTTATATGTGAGATGCAGGCACAAGGCTAGAGCCAAAGTCGTCGAAGAAAATAAAGTTCTGCTCCTGCTCACCTGAGCTCGGCATGAACGATGCTTGTGCTGCACACATTAAAGGGAAGGGGACTGAAATGGAAATGGTGCTGGAAAGGAGCAGTGATGCAGAGCCCTGGCCCTTTGCCCCAGCCACGCCCTCAGCCAGGAGCCCCTATCTCTTCCTCTTCCCACCCCACAGTGATCCTCTAGCTTGGAGGCCTGTGGAGCTGTCTGGGAGCCTCAGAGCACCACCAGCGCCTAATCTAACTGGTGCGGGCACAGCCCTCGGCCAGTGACCTCTGCCCAGTTGGCTGACAGCAACCCAGCCATGGGAGTAGACCGCAGTGCTGGCTGTGGGCTGGGTGCAAGGACACAGGTGACAGCCTTGACCCCAGATGCTGGCAAAACCCAAGGCTCTGTGCCAGAAGCCTCCCTAGCAACTGCCACCCCAGCCTGACCCCTGCTTGGGAGAAGCGTGTATTGTATGGTGACAGAGGAAGTGGAACAGAAAGGATAGCTGCATGGGTGAGGGACCAGGACAGGGACACTCTTCCTGGTGGTGCTAGAAAGACTGCCACAGTATCTGCCCCTGGGTCCTGGGCAGCCACCAGGTGGGCGGGCAGAGGGGCAGGATTCAGGAGGGGCTGGGAAGGGCCTGTAAATGAAGCTACACGGTTAGGGAAGCACTTTTATGGACTGTGTGACTCCAGTAGGACACAGACATCATTAATCGCTGGGCACTGCGGCCTTGAGGACCTGGCTGGACCTCAGTTTTCAAGTTGGTGCGGCCCCCATTCCCCAAGGTGCCCCGTTGCTCAGGGGATGCGCACGGCTGCACTCACCGGAGTTCAGCTGCTGGAGGATGAACTCCACCTGGCGGGTCATCTCGGCGTTGCCCTCTCTGATGAAGCAGCGCAGCATGTCCTCCATGCCCTGCGTGGCAGAGAAGCCGTGAACACTGTGGCACCTGGCAGGAGTGACCTTCCAGGGCACGGTCTCATCTGACTCCTGAATTATTACCACCACAGTGAGGACAGGTATAGCAGGAATCCCGTCTAGGACTAAATGTCCTTTTTCTTTCTTTTTACAGTCCACAGTGAAATTCTTCTCTTTTTTATTGTCTAGCCTTCCTTATAAGTTCTACAATGATTAGCAAAAATATATAATAATGATAATAATAAATTATTGTGAAATCTTGCCACCAATTTCCCCTTAGTCTTGCCAATATGTTCTTTGGGAAGGTGATTTTTCTCTCATGCGTTCCTAGAGTTCATTCACCACCCTCTGGACTTAAAGGTCAAATATGGATCTTGGATCCAAGAGGGGCCATCTGTTTTGAGGAGCATACAAACCAACAGGGCTCTCTCTCCTCGACCGTCATTCTTTTCCCATCAAAATGACTGCAGGTGCTAGGCAAGCACTTCTACTGACCTACTGCCCTGTCCCCTGGACTACATGTTGAACACCTGTCTGAGAAAGATCAACGAAAAAGATAAAGCATAGCCCCTCTACCTTAAAAGAAATGACTGCAGAGATGGGTGTGGTGGTGCACTCCTGTGCTCCCAGCAGGTGTGCGACAGGGGGACTGTTGCAAATTTGAGGCCAGCCTGGTCTACATGTTGAGCTCAACTTCAACCTAAATTGCATGAGAAAACCCTGCCTCAAAGACAAAACAGGGCTGGGGAGATAGCTCAGTAAATAAGTGCTTGCTGGCAAGCATAAGGCCCTGAGTTCAATCTCTGGTACTGCAAACAAAACAAAACAAAACAAAACAAAACAAAACAAAACAAAACAAATAAACTAACAAACTGCGGTGACTGCAGTCTGCGTCACACTGTTGCGGTACATGCACAGCAGAATTTGCCACACAGCTGTGAGGACTGGAGAAATGAAGAGCAAGATGCACACAGAGAACCACACTCCTCTCCCTGCAGGGCTGGCATGGGCAGGAATGGCCAGAGCTGGAGTAGCTTTCCTGCCACCAGGAGGGGACAGCAAGTCTGTGACAAGCCTCATACAGAGGAGGCTGAAGCGGGAGGTGCTGACAGACAGTCCATCTGGGGAGCCATGCCCTGACTCCAAGGTGAGAATTCTTGGTTACTGGAGCCTCTGTGTTCCCAGCCTGTCCCCTCATGTGTAAGATGACAGCAGCTCTGGGGTGGACATGAGATTCTGAGAAGGCACAGTGTGCCTGGGTGTGGTCACGGAGCTGGTGTACTGGTGAAGATCCGAGGCCTGTGCGGCCTACTATTTGCAGATCATACCTGAAAAGTAACAGTGGACATGTGGAAGCTGCAGGGCTGGCGCTACCAGGTCTGGCAGGGGTTGGTAGCTCGGCTGAAGCCATGGGATAAAGTGTCACCTCAGTGACACAAGGGAAGAGCATAGGACAGGGGACAGGGCCTAGAGTCAAAGACCTTTCACTGGGGCAGAGCTGGACAGGCACACAGAAACCATGGTGGGGAGGCACAAAGTACCCTCTAGCCCAGCTCCTGAGGTACACCAGACAGTCCCCAGCCAGGGCCCACCGTGGCCTCCGCTCGCAGTACCGCTGCCTTTGATGTTTCTATCTCATAAACCAAACTGTCCGAGACCCTCCATGTCCCCCAACCTAAGGTCTGGGAAAAAGTGCGTGTCACCCAGGGCCAGTGGTGGGACTGGCCCCCGTGTGCCCAAGGCCACAGTGACCACCGGCCAGCGGAGGAACGGCACTGTCCCCAGAGGAAGGAAAAGGACAAAGAACTCATTCAGGGGCTCTCTCTTATCTGTCCTTCCCGTGCACTATTTGCAAGTGATTACCTGCTCATATCTTTAAAGATCTCTCATTCTCATTTACTCCTTCATATATTTCCAGCTCCACCATTACTTGGAAAACAAACAATAGTGCCCTCTGTAATGAGGAAGACATGGAGACACTTTCTGAATAGAAAACACTCCAGTGAGAAATTTTGCTTAGTTTTTAAAGCCACATAACTTAGATAATGTTTAATCTCAACTGCAGAAATGAGAAGCCATAAAAAATTACAGCATTTTATCTGGAAAGTAGTAACCTGTCACTTAAGATAATCCAGGTCAAATAAATTACCTGGGTAGCTGGGAAGGACAGTAGGTGCCTGGAGACCAGCCCCATGCAGGAAATGGGGACACGGGGTGTGCTGGGACACAGCCAGGTGGCTGTCCTGTCCATAGCCCAGCATGCTCTGTGGGAAGTGCCTGGGACCACAGGACATCCGCTATTTTCAGGCCTGGGAATGCTAACGCCTGCTTTGAGATGTCATGGGGAGGGGACCCCCTAGCTGGAAGCCACCGGTGATGCCCACGCCCTCACGCACAGCCTCAAGGCAACTGCACACAACACTTGTAATTTTGTACACAAGTTTCACGATGCACAATTTTCCACTTGCAGCTTGGTGTCTGTGCTTGCAAAGTTTTGAATGCTGAGCATTTCAGCTCCACGCTGTGGATTGGGGATGCTGAGCCATAAACACTCAGAAGACCATGTGTGTGTGTCATAGTGGTTACGTGGCTCAGTGGCAGAGCGCCCGCCTGGCACATGTGAGGCCCTGGGTCCATCCCTGGGAGGAAGGAAAAGGGAAGGAAAGGGGAAAAAAGGGAGAAGACAAGGAGAGAGACCAATGTGGAGCCAGGGAGGCCTGGCCACGTGGCCCCAGGCGGTAGTACCAGCAGGGGTACCAGTGCCCTCTGTACCTGGGCATCACCAGCAGAACGAGCACAAGCACAGCCACTCCTTGAGGGCCCCCTGAGGTGACTGACAGGCTAAGCAGCTGTCCCAGTGCTGGACACCAGGCGTGGGTGACACAGTCCTCCTGGTCTCTACCCTACACCTGGCCATACACAGTAGCTCGTGCCCCACACTCTGCTGCATCAGCTCTTGTGTCACTGCAGGTCCTCCAGGGACCTGTTCCCCTTAGAAATGCAAACACCAGGTAGATGTAAATGTTTCTCTCCAGTTAGGACAGTCCTACAGGTTTACTGCAGGAAATGAATAAGCATGATACAAGAAAAGAATAAACTCTCTCACACATCCCTATCTAGAGGTAACTGCAAACATTTGAGGTATTTTCTTCCTTTATGGGGACTGTTTAACATTGTGGAGATCATGCTGATAACATAGTACTGTGTTTTAAATTTATGTGTCATGAAAACTGAATTTACAAAATTGTAGCAGGGGCTGGAGATCTAGCAGGGGCTCAGCAGTGCAGCACGTACTGGCAAGTACAGGGTCCTGAGTTCGATTCCCGGTGTGTGATGGGGGGAATAACATTACAACTGCAGCAGTCACAGTAGCTGTGGCTACAGTAATAACAGCAGCAGCTGAGATGCGCTTGTCAGGTGCATCCCGTGTGTGGTGTGTGTACTCAGGCGCTGCACTAATCCCCACAGCATACATGGAAAATGGGCTAGGTGAAAGGTCAGGCCAGGAGCCCCGAGAGGGAGAACCAGGATAGAACACGATTCAAACACAGCCTCAGGCCCTTTACTACTTCCTCTCCTCCTCTCCAGCTTGCTCACCCCTAGAGCTGGGCACTTGGATTGTGCCCCATTTCTGGCTGTGCCCAGGAATGCTGCAACAGGCACATGACGCAGAGGACTTCGGTCATGTGGTGTGGGGGCTCCAGGAACAGATTTACCAGGTCAAAATGGGAATATCTTTTGAAGATTATTTTTTTTTTTTTTTTTTTTTTTTTTTTTTTTTTTTTTTTTTTTTTTTTTTTTTTTTAATACTGGCTGGCATGTGGTGCTGGGGGATTGAACTGTGGTCCCTGTGCTTTGCTGAGCTTGTTCTAAGTAGGTGCTTTAGACCATGGAGCCATCTCACCAGCCCCTAAAGATTATTATTCTGAAACCAGTTTCCCAAAATGTTGTGCCCAATAGTAATCCTTTTAGTAAAATTCCCACCTGGATTTGGCCAGCCTGGTCCCAAGAGGGGCCATGGATCCAGGTGAGCAGGCCCAGCCCTGCCACAGGTAACTGCTTTTAAGCCATGTCTACACCCCTGCATTCGGTTCCTGGTGGCAGCTAGAGCCCAGCTTCGGCCTGAGCACTGTGGGAGCAGCCTCTGAGTCAGTGGGTGGGCAAGGACACGGCATGTGGGGGACCCACCTCAGGATGGGCGCAGGGCATGGAGAGTGAGACAGGTGGGGGCTTGGGCCCAGCCCTGCGGGGCTGGTGCAACACCCCTTTCTATCTGGTCAAACACGTGATGTGCTCCAGCCCCGTGCAGCCTGCGGCTCCGTCAGCCTTGGCCCCAGACATGTCTTAAAGCAGCCTGGCCTCAGGGGTCTTGTTTATCTTCTCTTCTCCCACTTTTTTTGGGTATGACCAGTATAGTGGGATTCTGTAGCGTATACCTGCCACCCCAGCATTCAGAAGGCCAAGGCAAAAGGATTTTTGTGAATTAGAGGCCAGCCTGGAATATATAGCAAGATCAAAGAAACCAAGAAGGCAAAACACACACACACACAAATAATAGCATTTGAAATTAATTTTGAATGAATGTCTGTCAGTTTCCATAAGCATACCAGTTGCCCAGTTGTTGTAAGCCCAGAGTTCTTATATTCTTTTCTTTTTTAATTTCTTTTTTTGAATCAGGAATAGAACTCAGGACTTTGCACTTGCCAGGCAGGACACTGAGCTATATCCCTGGCCCTCAGAGTTCTTATATTCTTCTTATATGCTCTGATTTTTTTTTTTTTTTTTTTTTTTTGTCTTTTTGAGACAGGTCTCATGCTGCAGTTCAGGCTGGCCTCAAACTCACAGCAATCCTCTTGCCTGAGCCTCCTGAGTGCTGGGATTAAGGTGTGCGCCACCACGGCTGGCTGACAGGCCGTTTCCATCTCTTGTTAGATAATAAAAATTTCCGTGCTGCCTCACCACCTTCAATAGCTATTTATATTTTGAGGAAAAGAACCATAACTGCAGTAGCAGGCCCTCTCCCCCAGGCACCTCGCTCCTTCCGTGTTCGCTGCTGTGCAGCAGCCCGGGCACCACAGGGCACCAGGCTCCTCTCTGTGCCCGCAGCCACAGGGACGCCCACACCCAGGTTGGGCATGCCTGGGGCTCTGTGGGGCCACGTGGCCCTCAGCCCAGATCCGGGTGAGCTAACTGCGCTGGGCCAGATGGAAGCCTAAACGTGGACTTTTGTCTGCAGGATCCCAGTCTTCTTTATAAGGTAAAAAACTGCTGCCAGGTGCGGTGGCGCAAGTCTGCGGTACCAGCACCCAGGGGGCTGAGGCAGGAGGAGAGCCACAAGTTTGAGGCCGGGCTGGCCTACATAGTGAGACTCTCTGAAAAAACCCAAAAATAAATAAACAAATTGTGGCTTAATACATTCAATTCTAAAATATTTAAAAGTACAAAATTGCTACGCGTGTGCTTGTCACTGCATTTCATCCCCACTATTCAGCCAACCCCTGGGGCCTCCTTCCTTGGTGGCACAGGTGTCTGCCCTCTGGACCTTTGCCACTGAGGCTCCACCCACTGCCCTCTGCTTTCTTCTGGCCTGGGCTGTCCTGATCCCACGCTCAGTCACCGCTCTCTACTTACGTGTTGGTGTCCACCGGCTGCCCCAGCCCTTTGCTGGCTATCTGTCCTTCCTGCAGCCTTTCACCGTGTGCATGGTGTGTGCGTGCACGTGTGTGTGTATGTGTGTGTGTGTGTGTGTGCATGTGACAGAGCCTGGGGCTCAGGGCCCCACGGGCTAGGCCAGTGCTCTGTCACCTCCGTCCTTCTTTCCTGCCTTTATAGACGGCACGCCAGGGTGTAGAGCTGAATGGGGTTTGTTTTTCCCTGCTCTGTACAGAAAAGTGTAGAACTGGGTTTAAATGGAGTTCAGGGGCTGGAGAGATGGCTTAGTGGTCTAAAGCACCTACTTGGAACAAGCTTGGCAAAGTACAGGGACCACGGTTGGATTCCCCAGCACCACATGCCAGCCAGCTGCGCCCCCTGGTGGGCTGAGCTGGCCACCCACACACACACACACACACACACACACACAATAAATAAATGTTAAAAAAAAAAATTTAAAATAAATAAATAAATAAATAAATGGAGTTCAATCGGCACGGTCCCACAGAACAGTGCTTGGATGAACACTTCTCTCTGGGACATGTGATGATACAATTTTGGACGAACAAGTAGAAGATGTGGACATTCTTTTAAGCAGGCAAAGAGAATCAGAATGTTCTGTTTGGTCTCGGACTGAGGTTAGCCTGTGGTTTTGAGTGTAGAAATACATTTCAACCTTCTGCATTAAATGCATGTACTTGAATACCAGTGTGTACACCGTTACCCTGGCCTTACACCAGTGTGTACACAATTACCCTGGCCTCACACGGTGTAGGGAGAAAGGACCAAACCTTAGTGGTTTTGCTGATAGATCAGGAGACATCTGTTCTCTCAGCTAAGACACGAACCATCTGACGCATGTGTCCTGCCTCAAACACAAGCACTAACATAAATGCATGAGAGAATGAACTCACATTGCATCAAGCAACTCACACAGGAGGAGGCTTACAATCTCTATGGCTTGCCTGATCTGTCTGGCTGCTATCAGGATAGCTACAGCTCTGCAAAAAATAAACCTGCTATAAGTGTTCTAACACTGCGGTTCTTAATGGTTTAGAATGCAGGGAACCCCTTGGGATGCTGATAAAAGCGTCAGGCTCTCTCCCCAGAAAACAGCAAATATGGATACTGCATGGTGTCGAGGAGCCCAGAAACAGCATGGACAGAGTCCAGTCCTGGCATTCCTGGCTCCCGCAGCTCTGAGCCATGCACGACAGGCTGGGAGCCCCCGCGGGGCTCAGCGCATCTGTCTCTCTCTCTTCCTCTTGCACTATGATACTGGGGATTGAATTCAGGGCCTCTGTGCTGAGCTCATCCCCTGGCCCTTCTGTTTTCTTTCTTTCTTTTTTTTTTTCTTCTTGTGACCCTCTCAGCCCACCCTGGGGGCAGGGCCAGCACAGCATGTGGTGCTGGGGATCAAACCGTGGTCCCTGCCTGCTTGCCTAAGTAGGCACTTTAGACTGCTGAACTCTCTTGCCAGCCCTTCCAGACCCTCCAGTTTTCAAACAGGATCTTGCTTAGTTCTCCTGGCTGGCCTTGAACTTGCAGCTTTCCTGCCTCAGCCTCCTGAGAAGCTTGGATTATCAGCCTATTTTCTTTTTCTTTTCTTTTTGTGGTGGAACTGGGGATTGAACTCAGGCTCTTGCGCTTGCCAGGGAAGTGCTTATTCTACCGAGCCATCTCCCCAGCCTAATCAGCCCATCTCCTTACCATCGCTCTAGCCTCTTCCCGAATGGATGGAATGGACAGGATGCTGTACAGTGCTCCATTCACATACGGCTGTATCTAGAGGGAGAAGAAAACCCCAGTCACTTGCAAGCTTTCAGATACTGAAACTCCATTAGCTGGCACTACACTGGCCAGGAGGAGAGCAGGCATCACAGGCCAGTGGAGCTCAGGATGCACAGGCCTCTGGACGCATGCTTCCAAATGGCCCTGGTCGCCATCTGACATTTTGGCGACAGCTACAACAAAGTCCAAGGCCAAGCCATCTCTGCCTCTGAACCTCACTCCTGCACCTTGCACAGCCCGGCCTTCCCAATCTCTGCGACTGTCCTCTGTCCACCCAGCTGCCCAGTCTGACAGGAGCTGCCCTGCCCATACCACGTGGCTGTCCTTGTGCAGAGGACGCCCGATGCTGCGGCTGTGTCCATCCCATATCCATCTGCCTCTGATGGTCATTTTAGCTCGATCAGCATGTCCTGGGCCCCCAGGTTTCCTTCCTTACTTTTTTTTTTTTTTTTAATTTTATTTATTTATTTATGTGTGCGGCCAGCTCAGCCCACCAGGGGGCGGGACTGGCATGTGGTGCTGGGGGATTGAACCGTGGTCCCTGTGCTTTGCGAAGCTTGTTCTAAGTAGGTGCTTTAGACCACTGAGCCATCTCATCAGCCCTCCTTCCTTACATTTCAAGTGCTGGTGCCTGCCCTGGATCCTGTGGCTTCTCAAACGGGCGCTAGGTCCCCATCCACCAACTTTAGGCGTCAAGGACCCAGCTTGCAGGAGTACAGGGCAGCGTGTGGCCGGGTTGCCCTCCATACTGTGCCAGCCACCATGAGGGGACCCAGGCTCCGTGTTTACCACGCCCAACCAGCACTGGGCTTTACTGTCACTTCCAGTGTTTGAAACCCTCAAAGGGCCTTCTACGCTTGCTCCACTTTTATCTTCTTGACCAAGAGTGAAAGCAAGCATCTTCCCACATTCACCTGGCAGCGCATGGCACAAAAGCAGCCTTTTCGTATCCTGCATCCATCTGCTATCGAGTTGTTTGACTTTCACTCATTGATTTATACCAGTTCTCTATTTATTAAGGATATTACACATCTGTCACATATGTAAGTTTTTTTCTCAGAGTATAATTTGTCTTTTAACTTTGATTTATTATTTTTCCTTTGTGACAAAGTCTCACTATGTAATTCAGGCTGGCTTGAGCTCACTGCATAAGTCCAGGCAATCCTCCTGCCTCGGCCTCCTGAATGCTGGCATTACGGGTACGCGTGCCTATGGCTGGCCTTGTGGACTTTGGTCATTGCATCTTTTTTTGTACAAAGATTTTCATGTGCACAGAGTCAAGTAACAGCACACTTGGGCCTAGAAGTAGTCAGGCCTGTCTGTGCCATGTACTGTGACAGCCACCTAATGTCCACCTGCTGTGGAAGCCAGGGCAAGCGGCTGCTAGGTGGCAGAAACAAGCTGTGAACGAGGTGGACAGGGCACAGCTGTGTGCTCGGGAGGAAATCAGATGTGTGGGGACTCCTTGCTTCCCTGGGGACCCAGCAGCCCCAACATGCTGCTGCAGTGCCCCATCTGTCAAAACAGGTCCTACCACAGCCTGGGCTCCACTGCAGCTGGCTGCAATGCCCTGGCTGCTGCAAAGGCGTCCATAAGGAGCCAGCCGCGAGCATGAAGGGCTCTGCCTATGAGACGCTGTGCCCTGGCTTCCTGCACCTCTGCTTCACACAAAAAGGGCTTTGGGCCCATAAGTCAGAAAATTAGAAAATAATACCAGCTGTGGATGCAAAGCCAGGGGCCACCAGGCAGCACCCTGTGACCAAGGGCCACTGAGCAGCATCCCCAAACATTTTCCTCTCCTTTTGAGCAGGGGATGAGGAACAGACTCTCCCTAAATTGCTCAGTTGTCCATCCTCCAACTAGCCATCCTCCTGCCTCACCCTCCCAAGTGCTGGCACTGCGGGCTGCATGCTCAGGCCTGCTGTGTCAGACCACTGTAGGCCCCATGAGTCATGGGGAAGAGATTCCACACATGGGGATGTGGGGGGTCCACACTGGGCAGCATGAAGCCCAGAGGGCCAACGGGATGAGCGGGGCCTGAGGGAGCTGGCCAAGAACGCGCAGGAAGCTCATCGCACTCCAAGTTCTGAAGGCTCAGAGATGACTAAGGCCCTGAACTTGGAGGGGACAGGGAACTGGGGCCAGCCCCTGCCCTGCCTGCCTGGGAGCGTGCGAGCGACGTGTCTCTGCTGTTCCTCAAGGCCCAGCCCATACTGTAGACACCAGGCAACCCATACCTCATGGTTCTCGTGGCCCAGGAGATCCGAGAGCACTTTGAGCACCAGGCCGGCCACTGTGGCACACTCGTTCTTCCCTGTGGGGACAGATGGTGACTCAGCGCACTGGCAGCTTCTGGACAGGGGGATCCCCTAGGGCTGGGTGCCTGGGGGTGCTCTTCCCGCTCTCAGCTCAAACAGGTTTCTTAAGAGTCAGGGTGTCATCTACTACAAAGCCAGTCCTGTCCCAAGCACACTGATTGCCATCATAAAAATCACACCACTCTCACAATCCCAAACACTAGCCATCACCATCCTGCAAGTGCTGGTGGTAACAAAGATAAGCCAGTAATAAGTGGTTTAAACCCTGGGCCTTCAGGTCTGCTTTAACGGGAAGAATGAGATAACTCGCTCACTCAGTCAGCACACAAGTAGGCAGCTCAGAGGAAACCAGTCAGCGGCACAGCACCCCAGCCAGGGCCTCGAGCACCACGCATCTCCAAACCTGCAGCCGGGCACCTCTGGTCTTGAAGCCCCTCTGTTGCCAGGACCAGGAAGGAATGCTAAGGACATGCCTCTGCCCAGCTTCGGAAGCAGCCTGTGAGGCCCGAGTGAGAAGTCTTGGCTTGGGGAGGGGGCCACTGACCACTGGCAGGAAGCGTGGCACAGTCACTGCTACTGCCACCAGCCCAACCCTGGAGAACACTGGGAAGGCGGTTCTTGTCTCAGGTTTTTTTGTTTTTGTGGGTTTTTTGAGGTAGGGTCTCACTACGTAGCCCAGGCTGGCCTTGAACTCGCAGTGATCCTCCTGCCTTAGCTTCCTGAGTGCTGGGATCATTGGCAGACACCCAACAAACCTCTTAACCTTGAACAATGAAGATGAAAGAAAAGGACAAAGAACTGGATTCCCACTTCCTGGCTGGGCCTGCAGGTACAGAATGATTCTCCCAAGGCCAGAATAGCATCTGGGTCCAAGGGCTCGACTGAGCTGGCAGCGCCCAGCCTCCCTGTGCTGTTCCTGAGGCCCCACCCTGGCCAGGCCGCTCGGCCCTGGTCCCTGTCCCCACGGACCTGCGCTGCGGAGGCACAGGTTCATGAGCAGGGCCACTGCGTACTCCAGGGTGTAGTCGGACAGGGCGTCGGGCTCCCGCAGCATGTCGATCAGCCAGAAGACGAGGCCGTCCCGGATCATCACTGTCTGCAGCGGGCGCCTGGGAGGACGGGACTGGTGAGCTGAGGCCAAGAGGCTGTGTGTCAGAGGGTGACAAATGGCAGATCGGGAGTCCGAGCACTGTTTTCCTGCTGAACCCACACAATGGTAGCACTGAAGACCCTCTGTGTTAGGGAGTTTAACACATTTCTGTGGGCTAGAACCACCAGTGGGGGCTGCATGACTACCCCATCCGGTGGTGGTTAGACCCATGGGACTGTCCCACACCACCCCACAGGCCAGCCATGCAGGCACCACAGGTGGCTCAGGACCATGAGGCAGCGAGAGAAGTGAATTAGGGCCCCAACGGGAACGTGCTAGGATGAGGTAGTAAGGCAGGCTGAGGCTCTGAAGCTTCCCATTGAGAATCAGCAGAGCGTTACTCCAGGAGCTGAATGGATATCCACAGTGGTGCAGGCAGCTAACTTAGATAGAAATATTACAGGAAGTCAGACAGGGCGAGGCCCTCGAAGGAGATAACAGAAGATACCTTACAACTGTGAGAGAGAGGAACGCCCCACTGTGGGCCAGGCCTAGAGACTAAAGATCAAACAAATGCCGACCTCCCTTTGATTAGCATCCAGGACTGATCATCACCCCGAGGAAGCCCAAAAGAATCTTTAATCCAGGAAGCCCAGAACAGTCATTAACCCAAGTACTACTGGCTAGCTACTAGACAAAGTCCTACTCTACATTCATGCCCACTTGCTATGTGACTCGCTTCCCCATTTGGTCCTGGACTCAATCAATTTTACCTGAGCAATGGTGCTTGTAATCTCATTCGTTGACCATAGTTTTGTCCCACCTTATGCCCACCTAAGCAAGTTCCCATGTTCTCCACCTTAGACCCACATGGTTTTACTCTATAAAAGTCTCTGGAAGAGGGGCCGGGGAGATGGCTCAGTAGGATAAGCGCTTGACTGGGAAACTCAAGGATCTGAGTTCAATCCCCGGTTCCGCAAAAAAAAAAAAAAAAAGTCCCTGGAAGAGACAGCTTCCTGGGGACCACCTACTTGGGGCCCCCCTCCTGTCCCTCTCTTGGATAGGAGCTTTCTTTCCCCCAATAAATATATTTGCTCTTAACCTCTGTTTCTAAAATTCATTCTTCGGTTTTAGAGAACACGAACTTGTCCGGGTCAGATTGGGAGTTTCACTTCCCCTCTATCAGTGGCGTATCCTTGTAACCCCAGCACTTGGGAGGCTGAGGTGGGAAGAGCGCCATGATTTTGAGGCCACTCTGCGCTATACTGTGGGCTCAAGGCCAGCCTGCACTACAAAGAAAGACCCTGTCTTGAAAGAAAAAAAAAATTGAATAGCTATGTATTGAGAACATTTGGTCTACCTAACATAGGAAACAGGCCCTTTGAAATACCTTTTTGATTAAACTCTTTATAATCGCTAAGCTTTAGGCACTATAAGCTGTATGAAAACAAAAGAAAAAGAGCCAAAGGACAGATGGCTTGCCAGTGTGGGGGCTGATGGCTGTAAGCCCCAGCACTCTGGAAGGCTGAAATAGAGTCAGAAGTTCCAGCCCAGTGGATCAATCTGGTAACTTAGACCTTGTCTCAGAACAAAAACTTAAAAAAGCACTGCCATGTAGCTCAGTGTAAAACCCCTGGTTTCCACTTCCAGCAATGTTAACAACAAAACACACTGAAAACCCAAGTGTCCATCAGCTCATGAGATGCTGCATAAGCTGCGCACATGCACAGAAAGGATTGCTGCCGGGTGACACGGAGGCACAGAGCGCTGAGTGCACCGCGATGGTGGGGCGGGGACACTGCGCTAAGGGAAAGAAGCTGGTCTCGGAGACCTGGCTCTGAGTGACTGCGGAGGTGGGTGCTGCGGTCCCTGGGTTAGGTCCAAGGCACTCTCTGTGGAGGCAGAAATGCTGTGTCCTCAAATGAGACCGTGGTGATGGGGACAGCTCTGCGACTCCATGCAAGAAACTCCTGCCTCGCGCAGATAAGGCCCTGGGCTCGTGGAAGTAATGGGGCCTTGACAGGGCTCTAGGGGACAGTGGCCTCCTCTCGTGGCTGCTCTTGAAGGTCACAGTGGGCCCTGGCTGAGACTGCAGTGGGCCCTGGGCTTGCAGGTGGAGGGAGCCAGGCCCTGTCCCTGAGCCCACAGGGCCACTGTGCATGCGGACACCAGAAGCTGGAGCAACCTGAGGCTGGCTGCCCGTGGGGCAGACAGCCCGGCACCAGGTGGCACTAACTGAGCCTGGTGTCGCCATCTGGTTCTGGCTTGCCCTCAGGCCCCTCCCCCAAGAAAAATCACTACCTGCCTCGCGGGATGCCATGGAGCTGAACAAGCTGCCCAACCCACAATCAGATTTCAGAAGCAGGTGACCCTTGGCCTGGTCGTCACCTGAGGCTGAACTTTTGCAGGGCCCCGAGCACGTTCTCACGGGTGACCACGTCCTTGTCTTCCTCCTTCAGCCTGCTCTCCAGCAGCCTCAGCACTTGCATATTCTGGGCCAGGTACAGGCGACCTAAGGACATACCAGAGTGACAGAAGCAGGGCAGGGTGGGTCTGGCCGCTCTGGTACCCAGGGAAACTTGACATGCAACACCACAAGGCAGGGCCATTGCATGTCAGGAAAGAAGCCACAGGCATGTGGTGTACACCTGTAATCCTGGTGCTCAGGAGGCTGAGGCAGGAGGATCACTGCAAGTTCCAGGCCAGCGTGGCCTAAACAGTGGGTTGAAGGCTAGCCTACACTACAGAGCGAGGCCCTATCTCTAAATAATAAATATTTTAAAAATAAAATTAAAAGAGCTCAAACAAATAGGAACTCGGGGAAGATCAGTCCACTGTGTGAAACTGTGAATGTGGTCATCGAGGTGTGGCGTTTGGGAAACTGTCTAGGCCTTTGGTTTGAGAGCCTGTCCTATACTGGAGCAGCCAGTCCTATGCTAACTAGAATCAGTTTTAACTGTTTTGCCACCTTACTTTCCTTTAAGTAGAAAATTATAGACAGAGTATTACCTGTTACAGGCTTGAAAGAAATCCAAACAGTACTGTTGTAAAACCAGAAAGCTGGGCCAGGGAGATAGCGCAGCAACATGTGCCTGTGTGGCAAGCACAAGGTCCTGAGTTTGATTCCCAGAACCACAAAAAAAACAAAAACAAAAAACAAGACCCACAACAAAGGGCCAGCCAAACAGCTGAGTGGATTAAAGGGTTCAGTCAGAGCCGTGGGCCTGCCAGCCCCAGGGCGCCCTGAGAGGGGATTGAGACTGGGCGGGAGGCCTGTGATCGCAGCACCTGGGAGGCTGTAAACAGGAAAATTCGCTGAGAGGCCGATCTAGTAGTGAGACCCTGAACACCCTGTAGACCCATCCCTAAAATACAAACAATAATAACAACAAAACCCCAGAAAGCTTAATGAAGCAGAAGGGCTACAAAATAAACTCCAAAGGCCACCAAACTCGCACTGAAAGAAGCCACTGCAATATGTCAAGGACTGAGCTTCACAGGAGACTTTAGATAAATAAGAATAAAGTGAGAAATTCATGGGCTTTTTTGTGGGGTTGGGTAGTGCTGGAGCTTGATCCCAGGGCTTTCACACTGAGCTACGTACTCAGATCTTTTTATTTTTTTATTTTTTGAGTCAGGATGTTTATCAACTGCCCAGGTGGGACTGGAACTGGAGAGATCCTCCGGCCTCAGTCTCCTATGTAGCTGGGATTATAGGCCTGTGCCACCCCACTGGGTGGAACCACATCATTTCTAAGAAGAAGTTTCCTTTTCAGAGTTGAAGGCTCCCTGAATCCTTCTCTGTCCCAGAGGGAAAGTACTCACCTTCAGCTAGAGAAGCCATGGCATTGACGAGCCGGGCCATGTACTGCCGGACCACCTCACTCTTGGAGTGCAGCAGCTGCAGCACGCTCCTCTGTGGGGACACAGCGACACAGCAGGGTGAGGGGGAGCAGGAGACTGGGCTTCCCGGGGCTCGGCTTGTTCTCTTCTGTCCCTGGACTTAGCTAGGAAATACTCAGACCAAAGCCATCATGGTGCAAGGAAGTCTCAACTTTCCACTGGTATCTGAGGGCCTTGGCAGAGAACACATCCAGACTCCTGAAGTAAATGAGTTGGGGACACAACATGGTGACACCAGGGTGACGCAGTGCGCACGACACATCCTACTGTGCCCCTCCTCACCTCGGCAAAACCCCAGGGAAGGGTTTAGGAAAAAACATCAGTTCTCAGGAGCAGAAGGTGCAGTGAGCAAGACAAGTGACCAAGAGCTCAGGGAGCAGTGCTGAGATCGGACCTTGCCCTGGACAGTGTAGGCCACGGGGTCACCTGGGCTTAAGCAGCAGTGGTGGGGGGCAGGGCGGTAGCCCAGGTCTGTCACAGCACACGGCATAGGGTGTAGGCTGGGAAAGAATAGAGATGGGGGCCTCGCCAGGCTTTCAACAGCAAAGCCCGCCTAGGAGATAAAACTTGGCTGCAGGGGGCAATTAGGAGGCAGCAGCAGAACAGCCAGGTACACAAACCAAAGCAGCCACTCCTGGCCTTCAGGGAAACCCAGGAGACAGGAGAGGCGACCTAAAAGGAAAGCCTTCCTTAGTGCACACACTCACATTCCGGCTCCAGGGCCTCTGATGGTGCCGCATCCTCTTACTTAATCACCAACTCTAAGAGAGCCAGAAGCAAGGCTCCTCCTAAACCAAACTATAAATTCCACAGATAAGACCCTGACAAAGACAGCCAAAAGCCCACACAGGAATGTGCCCAGTGAGGGTCCGACAGCCTGGGATGCATCTGTGACAGCCCAGGGAGCCAATCAGGTTATGACAAGTTCTAAATTGGGAGCTGGGAGGGTGGGTCGTTATCCCTTGATAAAAGGAAGCTGGGTCAAAGGCTCTCAGGTATCCCATCTGTCCTGGGGCCCCTCAGCCTTAGTTTTCCCAAGGAATGAATCTGTCTTCTGATTTTTCTCCCTCGCAAATAAAGCACTTTTCCCAGTCTTGGACTTCACTCCTGTAATTCACTACTGGTACAGAGTTTATGATGTCTGGGGGCTGAGGAGCAGCAGCATGCACCCCCAGAAACCGCTGGACACAACACGTATTCAAAATGGCCATACTTCCCAAATTGATCTACAGATTTAATATACTCCCAATCAAAATGCCAATAGCCTTAGAGAACTAGAGAAAATAACCCTGAAATACACATGGAACCAGGAGAGACCTAGGATAGCAAAAGCAATCCTGGGTAACAAAGACAAGGCAGGAGGATTGCAGTTCCAGACTTCAAGTTATACTACAAAGCTCCAGTGATTCAAACAGCACAGTACTGGCAACCAGACGACAAAAACCAGGTATGTGGATCAATGCAGCTGAATAGAGGACGCAGAAACAATCCGAATGCATCCAGCTATGTGATCTCTGACAAATGGGCCAGCAACTTACACTGCAGGAACGATGGCCTCTTTAGCAACTGCTGCTGCAGCAGCTGGCTTCCACTTGCAGGAGGCTGAGTCTAGACCCGAATCTCCCGCCATGTACTAAGCTAAAGTCAGAGTGGATCAAAGATCTGCGTATTAAAGCAGAAACACTTAAACCACTGGAAAGTAAAACTCTTGACGTGGATGCAGGCAAGGATGTCCTGAGCAGCACTCAGGGGCACAAAGGCTGACATCACCGAGTCAGCAAGTGGGACCACATCAAATTAAATAGCTGCATAGCAAAGAAAAGAACAGGCTGAAAGGCCAGCCCACAGGATGGGGAAAATGTTTGCCAGCTAGAGGAATAATGTCTAGAATAGATAAGTAAGGCCAGCGAGATAGCTCAGTGGACGAACATGAGCGCATAGGCAGAGCCCAGCGGCTGGGCTTCGATCCCCAGAGAGGCGTGGCATGCCAGCCCTGCCCCAGTGCTCCCTGAGATGGCGACTGAGACTGGGTGTGGTAACACGCACCCGTAATCCCAGCGCTTGGGAAGCTGAACACAGGTGGATCATGAGTCCTGCAGTAAGACCCTGTAGATTCTGTACTAAAATATGAAAGAAAAGTAGAATATATAATCAACTAAAAAAATCAGCCCTCCCCAAAACAAAGAAAACCAATTAAAAAAAAAGGGCAACTGAAATGAACAAACACTTCTCAGAAGGAATACAAATGGCCAATAGACACATGAAAAAATGTTTAATAACTCTGATCATTAAAGAAATACAAATTAAAACAACTCTGAGATTGCATCTTACTCCAGAAAGGATGGCCCCATCATGAAATCAGGTAACAACAAACGCCAGGGAGGCTGCAGGGGAGCCATGAGGCTGTCTACACTGTCAGTGCGAATGTAAATCAGAACGTGAGCCTGGTCAGTCTGGAGAGCCCTCAAAACAGAGACAAGAAAGTGCAGTCAGCCCACCCCTCCCTCTCTCAGGTATCTTTCCAAGAGTGCCAGTCATCACTTTACAGTGATCCACCCACACTCATGTTTGTAGCTGCAAAACTCACAACAGATAAACCCTGGAAGGACTTGTGTGTCCACCAGCAGATGAGTGGAAAAAGAAAATGTGGCAGTTACATACTGTGGCATAGCGCTGCACCATAAAGAGGCTAAAAAAGCTCAAGCCAGCTGCAGGAAGATGGGTGCGCCTCAAGACTGTACCGCTAAGTGAAATAAACCAGACCCACAAGCTTAAATAGTGTATGGTGTTTCTTACATAAGAAACCCAAAATAGGGCCGGCTAGATAGCTCAGCAGATTAAAGAGCCTGCTTAGGCAGATCCAGACCGGGTTTGATCCCCAGTGTGCCCAAGCCAGCTCCATCCCCAGGTCACACTGAGGCAGTGACTGAGACTGGGCATGGTGGCACGCACCAGTAATCCCAGTTTTTAGGAGGCTGAAAACAAGAGGATCACTATGAGTCCGATCTGTGTAGTGAGACCCTGTGGACCCTGTACCAAATACACCCCCCCCCCCAAAAAACACCCCAAAATACAAAGAGTAAAATTAAAGATAACTAAAAAGAGATGGAAGGAGGGGATTAAGGGGTAGCAGGTGTCAACTGAATGAGGATTGGGTAGGCACGGGCGCCCCAGGGTGCATCCTCAAGTACTGTGAACACGTGCTAATAAAAACAAAAATCAAAAAAACCCCTTTATATGCATATATTATTCGACAACGGCCCCAAACAAACGGCTCGGGGCACCTTAACTATCTCTGTAGCTAGTCTCTGCCGTCTTCCCTTCCTCTTCCCTTCCTCGCTGTACATCCAGAACCCTGACAGCTGAGCCCTGGCCCTCCACTCGCTCCGCACCTGGCTGTGGCTGCGGCAGTCCAGGAGGTCATTGCTGATGTAGGCCTGCAGCACCGTCTCTCGCTGCTCTCCAGGGCGCGACGTGGTGAGGCGCTGGAGAGAAGGGCAAAAGCAGCATGGAGGAAATCCCATGGAAGGAGCCAAACTAGGGTGCAGGGGGTGGCGCCGGGGGAGGTGCGCAGCCCGGGGGGGACTGCGGAGCCCACGCACACAGACCAGACTCCGCAGTGCTGCAGGGCGCGAGGCTGTGTGCGCATGCGTGCACGTAGCTGCTGCAGCTTGAGGACCTTGAGCAGCTGGGAGGTCTGCTGCGTTCCACGAAGTCCACGGGGGACAGGAAAGCTCTGTGTGGGGCGTGCATAGTGCGCGTGCCCGTGAGCAGATGTGAGCGAGATGAGGAACCCGCCCCATCAAAGGGAGCAAACTGCTTGTTCTCTCAGGAAAACCTTCCGAGGCCAACGCCGGCCGCCAGCCCTGCTTGGGGTAGGGGAGTGGTGTGGACAGGGCTCCCAGTTCCTAGCGTAGCTAACTGAGCAGAAGGTGACAGAGAGCTGGTGGCAGAAGTGGGGGCGACAGAGCGAGGCGGGCAGACCCTTGTGGTCGCTAGGTGGTACTCTACTGTACTGTTTTTGTATTTTTTTGGTGCTGGAAATCAAACTCAGGACCTCAAGCTTGCCAGGCAGGCACGGTACTGGAGAATGGTTTCTATTCAGAGACAGGGAAACTGCACACAGAATGTTAAGGTTGAGACCCCATAAAGGGTCTGATGCTAATGGGATTAGTTAGGATAGATCTGTCAATCAGAGGCTATCCCTGTTGGCATAAGCCAGTTCTCAAAGTGTAGTCCGGGGAACCCCAAGGGTCCCCCAGACCCTGTCAGACAGACAGGATAATTTTCATACTAAGATGTGCCTTGCTAATCTCATTGGTCCCTCAGTGGCCATAGGAAGTGTGATGCTGTCACACGCAGGCAAAAGCTGTCAGGAACATCCAGCCAGCGTCCATTAAGCCAGATGTAAAGAAACGGGAGAAATGTAAAACAGCACAAACTCTTCTCATTTTTTTGTGTGTGTTGGGGGCAGGCCTGGAGATCAAACCTAGGGCCTCTGCATTGAGCTATATCCCAGGCCTTTTTATTTTTTATTTTGAGGAAAGGTCTTGATAAATTGTCCAGATTGGGTTTGTACTTGGGATCCTCCTGCCTCAGCCTCCTAGAGTGCTGGGATTACAAGTGTGTATCACCACACACCCAACTAACTTCATCTGTTTAGAAATTTGTTATTTTTCATTAAAAAATGTTACTCATGTTAACATGTCATTTGCTTACTATTTACATGAACTAATAAATACATATTCTAAGCATTTTCAGTTTTAATTTCTAGTGTTAAACACACTACAGAAAAAATTCATGTAAGCAGGGCCTGTCTGCTGAGGTTCACAGCTGGCTTCCAAGTGGAGGGGAGGCTTCAGGGCGCCTCTGGCCTGCCTGAGTGTGGCTGTGACCAGGAGCAGGGCGGGCCTGGAGACTGCAGGGGCTGTCCTGTTAACCTCTTAAACCTCAAGCAGGCAACAGCCACTGTGATAGCAACAGCAGCTACGTCTCACTTTGGTCTTTGGTGCGGCAGGTGGCAGGACGAAGGGTGGTGGCACCGGGTCACCAGGCAGGAGCCAGGCAGCCAGCAGGGAAAGCAGAAAGCAGTGCTGGGCGTTGGCTGTTGAACTTCAGAGGAGAGGCACCTACCCAGCGCAGAGCCTGCAGCAAGAAGGCTTTCAGACGGTAGCTCCCCCAAATCAAATCCTTCTTCAGTTTCTCGTAGTCCAGGGAGGGCAGCAGGGGGACATCCTGCAGTTTCCTGCTCACAGTTCAAGAGAAGGGAAGGGTCACCGCTCCAGAGCTGGTCAGGTGTGGGGACCACGGCACCGGCAGCCACCCTGCCCCATGTGCTCTGAGCCCCGCCCTGCCCACTGTTGGTGGACTGAGGTTTTGATTCTTTGGTTGAGATGGTCTTGCTAGGCACCTCAGGCTAGCCTTGAATTCAGTGACCCGCCTGAGCTGGGCTTACACAGCTCATTTTTTTTTCATCACATTTTCCTAATACCACGCATCGCATCTCTGCCTAAACAACTGTAGAGGTCACAGCAGGTCCCTCAGGCCGGGCACCCTTTGAGGGTGAAATGTCACCGTGGGGCCAGCTACATCCTCCACTGGGCTACAGCCTGACTCTTAGCAAAGCTCACAGATCATTAGCACCTGCAGGCCTGGAGGGGCCCTTCTATAGCCCTTCAGCCACTGTCCTTGTCCAGGCTGGGCAACCAAGGGACTGGACAGGGAGCAGCAGTACTGTGAAGAGAGTACTCCTGGTGGACACTGCGCCCCTGGGGAGGGCCTGGGGCCCAAGCGGGCGACACAGGACGCCTGCTAACCCTGCGAGGGGTTCCCAGATCAAAAAGCGCAGGCCTGATTTGAGAGTCATGTGGCACCCGGACCTCACACCTGCCTCAACCAGCCAGAGACTAAAGGGGTCACTTGTGGTCCCCTGGCACCAAGACACCATCCTCACACCTTCTTTTGCTGCATTAAAGGAGCTGTGTGCACAGGGAAGGCTGCAGAGAGCGGGCGAAGCCCGGGCTCAACTGCGATTCCTTCAAAATAGAAACTGACGGGGGGTGGGGGGGTGGCGCACACCTGTAATTCCAGCATTTGGGAGGCTGAGGCAGGAAGATTGCTGAGAGTTCCAGGCCAGCCTGGGCTGCCTAGTGAGAGAATGTCTCAAACTGCCCCCCGCAAAAAAAAGGAAAAAAAATTTTTAAAAAGGAAAAGAAAAACAGCACAGGGAGGGGAGGGCAGGGAAGGAAAATTAACTTGGGGTCTTGGTGGAGAGCATGTGGGGATCCTGAGTCTGCAACTCAAATCTACTTTATCATGAAAGACACGTTCCTAATGTTAGAATGGAGGCAGGCTCTGGCTCTAGGTGAGGGGGTGCCAACAGAGCTTGGCCTTGCTCTGTGGCTCCCACTTGGGCAGCAAGGTCAGCAACCGAGCACACCACACGTCTGTGATGGGCAGGCCTGTGTCGGCCATCACTGCCCCAGCCTCCTCCACACGCTCCCTTACGCTCTGCAGGCAACCAGCCCTGGGTCACTGCAAGACCCAGAGTTTGTGTCCCTGTTCCTGCGCTGCTTCTACACATGGGCTCCTTTTTGTCCTCACATGATCTGACAGTTCTCTTGTTCTTATTTCACAAGTAAAGAAACTGAGGCACAGAGGAGTTATTTAAGCAGTCCAAGGCCATGGCCACGTGCTGGTGGTCCCAGTGCAATTTTAACTTAGCCCGGCATGCTTGTGTGCACTACACAACATTGCCACCAGGTGGCAGAGAGGACACGCAGGATGAGGAAGGCTGTGACCACCTCAGGCTTTGGAGCAACCGCCAGTACCGGGCAGCACACCTGGCTCAATGGGTCCGGAACAGCCCCAGCCTGGACCTCCAGGCCCTAGGTGTCCACTTCCTGCTGAGGCATGTGTGCGTCAGGCACTGCATGAGTGACAGCCCTGCGCAGGCCACAGACTCTGAGCGGCTCCCCCCGAAATCCCAGCGCCCTGGGAGCCTGAAGCAGGATGCCCACGAGCTCAAGCCTCGCCTGGGCAACTGGTCACTTAGCAAGCGTGCAGGCCTGGCCATGCCCAGAACCAGGACTGATGACTTGATTAAGGTAACGCTTTCATTGCTAGAGACTAGCACGGGAATAACTCCGCTTCTTTTCCTCCTTTGATGCTACCTTACTAAAAGAAATAGTAAGGTGAGAAGAAGTCTAGATGACCACGCTATTTATAGCCACTGCATGCCCCAGCACGCTTACGCGCTAGACAGGGCCGGAGCAGCTCCTGACTCTGATTCGTGTTAACCATGATTCCGGGGGCGGCGACTTACCCTGGGGCCAGGGAGGCGCGCAGCATGGTTGAGGCCTGCAGGGAGGAAGAGAAAGCAGGGGCATGAGTGTGGCCGACCCGCTTGGGCAGCAAGAAGCACAAGATCTGCGGTGTGACGTGCAGGGCTCCTGAAAGCCCTCTCGGATTTAGAATCAGCCTGGACATCTGGAGTTTTGATCCACAGCCATCAGCACCTGCCGTGTGGCAGCATCGCCCCCAGCACTGCGACGTCTGCTCCACCGAGGAGACCTGAGCCCCGTGAGGCTGAGCACCTGGCTCTAGACAGGAGTCGCATCCCAGAGCCATGATCACTGTGCCCAGCATCCTGCTTCAGGGCTGTCCCTCCAGCCTGCTGCCACTGTCTGGTCCTCTGCCTGAGCCTCTGCTCTGCAGACGCCCCTGCCTCAGCCTCCTTCCTCCGCACTGGCCCACTCAGCGGCCCACTCTTGCCAGAGTCGTGTCTGCTCCACTGCCCCATGTCCCTTTCTGGCTAGCGCTTCTCCCTGGTGGTCATTCTGATCCCAGGGAACACGTGGCCACGTCTGGAGATACTTCACTGTCAAACCAGGGGTCAAACTGCTGGCATTTTATGCGCAGTGGCCCCAAACAGCAATGGCACAGGACAGATGCGGTTCTCAAGGCCTGGCCAGGGCACCCAGGAGCCACCCACTGTGAAGGTGGAAGCAGATGCCGTTGGCACAGCTCCACACAGAGCTCCCCCACCCCCACCCCGGCCAGCTGGGCTGCTCATGTGACGCATGCTGAGTTCCAGGCGGGCAACACAGTGAGACACAGACCCTGCCGTGCCAGTTGCCACCAGGAGCAAAGCCATCCTCCCTGACTGGCACCCTCTGCCCCTCCCTGACCTGGAGCTGGCCTATGACAGTGGCTGCACACTTAGCT